CATTAACACTCAACAACAGCTATCTTCAAAAAGTCTTAAAAGGAAGAAGTTCCTCCAAACTACAGGCATTGGTGCAACACGAAATGACTCTGCCACTGACCGAAGAGTGTACATTAGTTGTCACTACTATACCAAATGCTAATTTTGTGCCATAAACCATTGTAGGACTTCATGATTAAAACCACATTAAAGCACAAAGGAAGAAAGCTCCTAATGTTTTCTAGTAGAGCAGTTCCCTGTTCTAGTAACTGTCAGTAACACTGGTTCTTTTCCACCCAGGGATAACAGGAACTTCACTTCCATACTAACTGCAATATTGAGTTTCACTGAGGTTTCCAATTCCACTATAATTTGTGTCTTAACTTGGAATACTGCAGGACAATAATTAAATACAGTTTAATGCTGACAACTGTGCCATTTCCAGGCACCATCTCAAATGCACCAAGTTTGATGTGACTTAGCTTTCATATACACCACTACTTTCACACAGTGGTCAAGTTACACATGCAATTGCACTGTACTACTTTGAATCAGATCCTGCAGTGACTGAACCCATGCCGTAAATCAACAATATCCGGCTTCTTGGATTTCTTCTCACTGGCAATTATTTTAAAGTTGATTCACTTGTTTCAAAAAGTCTGGTTTGCTACTAGCCAAATTTTACTTCCAAGTCACACAACTGAAATTCATTATGTAATTAAGTGAACCCTCACACGACAGATCTAAGTTTAAATCAAACATGCATACAAGGCAGTACAATGCTTCAATTAAAACAATGGACCCATTTCAGTGATGGATAATTCAGGCACCAAATCCATGCTCATTTCCAGTACCTGCAGATACTTCATTTCTGATGGAGAGTTCCAAGAAAGTAGGAAAAAAAGCAAAAGTGAAGATTACTAAAGTTCAAGATATCAAGGTATTTTCACATCTACAGAAATAAGCATCAAAACCCATTACTCTCTCTCCCCTTGCTAAAACACCTGGAAAAAAAAAAACAACACCAAAACACTTGCCTGCACAGCTTATTCAATATATATCACAAGACTGAATACTGTGAAAAAAAGTGCCTGGCTTCCTACCCAACCTATTCCTCAACTTTGGTTCTGTTTCATGATAGAGGAAATCTGCCTCCCTCTAACCTGCTTGTATCAAGTCCTAGCTACAGCCCAGGAGTGCTGCATTAGTCTAGCCTCACCACAGAAGGATTCCACTACCTTGGGCATCAGTCCCTCAAACCCCAAGGCATTCTACCTTATTTCTATTTACACCCTGCCCTCACTGCCTACACCACACACCCTTAACAAACTTACCTGGGTAAGTAACAGTGTACCAACAGTAACTTGGTGGAGTAAGCATTAGGGGTTTAGGCAGCCTGAGTGACAAGCGTTAAGATTATCTACTGTGTGTATTGCAAGACTGAGTTATGTGATTAGAGCAATACTGTTAGATTTACGAAATTTAACTTTAGTTCAAGTGACACATAGGAAACAGTAATTTAGGAAGCATTGTTTCATGTCATATCAGCTAGGCTGGCAGCAGAGAGGAGCAAAACTAAGCTACTGAGCTGATGACAAGATATACAACACACAGTTTACCTTCTGTTATCCAGTAGAACAGGAAAAAAAATGGAAGAAAAACAACGTTATTCTGATGAAGAATTCCTAATCAACATTTCAAAGGCATATGCTCATTCTAGCTTAAAAGATATTCTCATCCTACCTTCTTGCCAGCACCAACATTTGCCTTGGCTGTGCCCCTGACTTTCTTCATTCTGTTCTTACGCTCTTTTCGCTGCTTCCTGGAAGTCTTTTTCTTTTCATACAAGCCATGCTATTAAGAACAATTGAAAGTTGCTTTTAACATTGTTTCCTCTACTAACAACTCTTGAATTTAAGTTCTGCGCTTTCTGAAATGTTCAAATACAGTTTCAATTTGAAATATTAACTAAAAAGCAAGATCATTAACTAATGAATGATTCAACATAGAAGATAAATATTGAAGTAGCACATGGATTAGCCCCATTTCTTATGCTTATTCTAGACATCTATCAGTGCTTTGTTAAAAGTTACTGTTAAACACCTCTGGTATTATCAGTTTTGCCTTCCCAATTAGAGAATAAAAACATGCTTAGCCTATTTTGCAAATGCAGAAGTTAACATATGCTATTTTAGGAGCTCTCATGCAACTGTACTTTAACAAAACTTGAGTTTTTACACACGCAAATCCTGAGTAACTGAACACTTCCAACCTATCCAGCTTTCAAGATACCAGAAAACATACCCTGGCAAGCCTGTGCTTTGGTTCATTTTTCTTTGCATAGTCCAGGGAATCATAGATCATGCCAAAGCCAGTTGTCTTGCCACCACCAAAGTGAGTTCTGAAGCCAAAGACGAAAATTACATCAGGGGTTGTCTTGTACATTTTTGCCAGCTTTTCCCTGATTTCTGTTTTGGGGACTGTGGCCTTCCCAGGATGAAGAACATCAATCACCTAAAGAAGAATTTTAACAAGTTGATAAAACATCAATATTCAGTACAAAGCCCCCCCAGGTGCTACAATCCTGCCATGAGCTCAACACTTAAACTAACCCACTTCAGCAGCAGAAATGACTATTCATTTGATACAAAACCATTCAAAAGTTTCTTGTTTCACTGAGTCATTTAGACTGAAAAATACCTTTAAAATTATTAAATCCAATAGTAAATCAAATCCTGTCTAGTATTTCAATAGCACTAAACCATATCTTCTAAATACTGCCAGGAAGAATGACTTAACCACTTCCTAGGGCAGCCTACTCCAATGCTTAACAATGCTTTTGGTGCAGAAATTTTCCCAAAAATCCAGTCTCAAACTGGTACAACTTCACCATGCAGATTTACCTTGAGCATACACCAACGCACTTAAATCAATACATTCTTACAATTCTTAACTTAAAAACCCTGGAGACTTTAAGGGTACCATATTTATAGTGGCTAAACCTTCTTCCAGCTCAGAACCACAAAACAAATAAAGGCCATTTTCTGTTGTCTTTTACCATCTGCTTACGCTGCAGAAGTCTGTTGGTCATGAACTTCCTGGTTCTGATGGTCACTGTGTCATTCTGCAAGAGAAAACATTAAATAAAACTAAACAATAGCTACAAATGCAACCAAAACTTGATACATGCATAAATATTGCACAGTAGGTACAGCAACAGCCAGGAGCCTCAGATACTGACAGTGAGCTCATAACCTAAATGGGCTGGTCCTGGACTACAGAAAACACCTTTAGGTAATACAGTGAGAAACTGACAAACTCATTCCCGGTTTCCAACATATACACCTTCACTACCATGAAAAGCTGAAGCAGCTTTTAATAAAATACATGGATCTCAATTCCAAATACAACGCAACAGAAGCATTAAAATGCTAAAACTAAGCCCTAAATGTTACCACCTCTACAGCCTCCCACCCTCTAAGGACAAGGGAGCACCCAAGATTTCGGGATGCTCCTGGTTGAAAGGAAAAACAGCTCAGTGGGTCCACAGAAGCTTACTAAGTCTTCCCAGTAAATTGCACACTTACCATGGTACTCGGTGTGTTAGTACCTGACCTCAGAATAAGGACACGGCAGCGGGTTGGGCGTAAAGGGGAAGGTGAAAGGGAATCGAGGATATAGAAGAGAGCAAGTGACCACGCACTGAAACATTAAAGAAGCTATTTCTTATGTACAGGTAGCATTTCCTGTGCATCAGCCTCTGCTCTTGCCTCGAATGCTATTGCCTGCCACCATCCTCTGATACCTCCCCTTCAAATACTGATAGACACTAGTAAGGTCGTCTTTCTGTCATCTTTTCTGGAGCTGAAAACGTTCAGCCCCCTGGAGCTGCTGGCCGTGCCCTTCCTAATGCAATGTGGAAATCTCTCCTAAAATCCTGAACGCCACTACTTTCACAGCGCTTTCAGCCAGGAGCAGCCGCGATAAAGGTTGGGGTGACCCACGGCAGCCCCCTAGCACCCCCAGAGCTGCACCCTGGTACCGCACTATCAGAGCCCGGCGCTGCTCTGACGGAGCGGGGACACGGTGCAGCCGAACGCACGGCGCGGCCCTCACCCCGCAGCTGGCTCCTATCAGCGGGCACTGACGCGCGGCGGCCCGCCCGCAGGAGCCCGGGCTCGGTGTCCGCCATAGTCCCGCGGGCGGGTGCGGCCGGGCCGGACCGGCGGGGCGCGGCGGTGCGGGGGCGCGGCGGGGCCCGGATGGCGGCGGCGCGGGGCGGATGGCGGGGCCCGGGCCCGGCACTCACCATGGCGGCGGCGGCGGCTCCTGCGACCGGAAGAGAAAAGGAACGGCGCCACCCCGCGGCCAATCATAAAGCGGCGCGGGGTCCTCCCTGGGATGGGGAAAAGGCGGGGTCGTGCGTGGGGCTGTCCTCTCCAGAGCCGGACCTGGCGGCAAGGAGCAGGGGGCGTGGCGTTGTGAGCTCGAGGGCAGCCGGGGCGGTGGTGGCACCGTGTCCTGCCGGGGGAAAGCCCAGCTCCGTGACCGCCGTGCGGCGACACCAGCCCGAGTCAGCCCTGCCGTGTGCCGGCGCCGCCGTGCGCCCTGGGGGTCCCGCCGCGGGTCACCCAGGGCTGCTGTGGGGACGCGCAGAGCCACGGACTGAACGTGGCGGCGCTGCCCTGGCTGAGGAGTTGCTTAGGGCTCAGCGAGTTGCGGCTCTTCAGCCTCGAGAAGAGACGACTGAGAGGGGCCCGCGTTCATGTGCATAGACAAGGAGGGGTGTCACAGAGCGGGGCCAGGCTCGGCTCCGTGAGGCCGGGTAATAGGCCAAGGGGCGATGGGCGGGCGGTGCTCAGGAAGTTCCACCTGCACGTGAGAAGCGAATCCTTTGCTGTGCGCTGACGGCGCACGGGAATAGGCTGCCAGAGAGCGGGGCAGGCTCCCTCCGTGCAGGTACCCCCGGAGCCGCGGTGCCGGCAGGGGCGCTGCGGGCGGAGGCCGCGCTCACCGGCCCGGCCCAGGCTCCGCGTGCAGCCGCGCGGGCCCCGCCGCCGCCGCGATGGTGAAGGAGCAGTTCAGGGAGACGGATGTGGCCAAGAAAATGTGAGTGGGGGCCGTGCGGTGCCCGCGGGCTGAGGCGGGGAGCAGCAGAATTGCGGCGGGGCAGAACCGCCGGAGCTGGGAAAGTGTTGGCGTGGAGGGCCGCGGTGGGCAGCTCATGGCACGGCTGCTCTGCTTTTAGGAGCGCTGGGACAGGGGTTGTCCCACACGAGTAGCCATGCCTGTGTCCAGCTGTGGGGATGCCCAGGAAGGTCGATAAATCCCTTAGATAAAAGCCACCAACTCACCGTAAAGCAGCTTTATTATTTATAGTTATCTGGAAGAACCTGTTTCAGCAATATTCTGAATCATTCTAGCTAGTTTTGCATTGTTTTCGAGTACTTTGGGGTCCTGAGAAGGGCAGTGAAGCTGGTGAAGAGTCTAGGACACAAGCCCGGGGGGGAGGAGGACCGTCTGGGGAAGCTGGGATGTTCAGCTTGGAGAAAATAGGCTCAGGGGAGACCTCACTCTCTAAAACCACCCGAAAGGAGAGTGTAGCCAGCTGGGAATTGGTTTCTTCTCCCAGGAAGCCAGTGATAAGGTGAGAGGGCATAGCCTTAAGTTGCACTAGGGAAGGTTTAGGTTGGATATCAGGGAGAATTTCTTCGCAGAAAGGGTGGCATTGTTAGAAATGAAACAGAAAGTTAGGCATTGAATGGTCTGCCCAGGGAGGTGATAGAGTCACGGTCCCTTGTTTAAGGAAAAGCTGGAGGTGGCATTCAATGCTGTGGTCTAATTGACAAGGTGGTGTTTGGTCATGGATTGGGTTCTGTGATCTTTGAGGTCTTTTTCAACCTAATTGGTTGTGTAGTTCTGGGGTGCTTGCATGTATACTTGTGGTTTTGCCTATATATGTGTATATATGCCCTTACATACATCTGAAATTTCCTGTCCTAGAAGCCACATCTGTTTTGGCATGAAATCTCCAGAAGAGATGCGTCAGCAAGCTCACATTCAAGTGGTCAGCAAAAATCTGTATAGTCAGGACAACCATCACTCTCCACTGCAGTATGGAGTGCTGGACCATCGCATGGTGAGAACCTTTCTTTTGTTTTCCAAACTCTATCTGGGGAGTTGCTGGAGTGGTTAAAAAAAAGTTGGGGTCACTGAAATGTACTGTTTGTCCAAAGTAAGTTCAAATGAGTCTTTACTTGAATTTCATAAACTATTAGCTACAGTGCCAGCTACTTTTTCATCTTTTTGGAGGGCAGGAATGCATTCTCTTGAGGCAGGAAGTTACTTTTCTGCTAAACTGCTGGGACATGCAGAGACATGTGTCACCAAAATGCCACAGTGTAGGTTAATGGGCTGTAGATCAGTTGCAAGAGCTGTGTAAGTCCAGGTCACTGGTGTGAGCTGGGGCTGTGTGTAAAAAACATTTTCCTTAAGGATCTGAGTGATTATAATGCCACTGACATGCTTCTGATGCTGGGGAAAAGGAGTGGCTCTGCTACTAGCATTCCTGACTAGCTTATAAACTGTTGTATTTTGTATCTATCCCATCAATTACAGCTGCCTTTTTTTCTGTGTGTGTGTGTTTTCCTTCTCCCAAAGGGAACCAGTGAAAAAGACCGTCCCTGTGAAACCTGTGGGAAAAGTCTGGCTGATTGTTTAGGGCATTATGGATACATTGACTTAGAACTACCTTGTTTTCATGTTGGGTACTTCAAAGCTGTGATAGGCATCTTGCAGGTAAACATGATCGTGACTTGTCAGTTTCTAGCCTAAAAAAGGAAAGGTGATGCTTGAAAGTAATTGAGAAAGCCAGAATAAGGTTGCATTATTAATTATTTTTATGTACATTTTCTTTTGTAAAATACATGTATTTGAAGACCAATTTTAGTGATATCATATGTAATTTCAGACCAATAAATTTAATCTATAATTTTTATGCAGTTTGAATTAAATATATGAAGGATAATTTCCCTTGTAGAACACCCCAGTAAGTCAAAGCTGTTTGCGCTATATGAATTTTTGAGACCCCTGTGGAGCTTAGCTAAAAATTTGCTTCACTGACTGTATTTTTCTTTTCCTCATGTGCTTTTTAGTGTGTATTCTAATATGTGAATTGGTCTTTCAATCAAGACAGTAGTATCTCATTCAAAAAAATTCACTGTTTTGGAGAACTTAAGCTGTAGTTCAAGAGGTTGCATCTTTGAATGTGTCCCTCAAACAACTGTGTTTATACGTGTTTACATTTAAGATGATCTGTAAAACCTGTTGCCACATCATGCTGTCAGTGGAAGAAAAAAAGCAATTTTTAGATTACCTAAAACGACCTGGCCTTACATATCTTCAGAAGAGAGGGCTAAAAAAGAAAGTGTCTGAGAAGTGTCGAAAAAAAACCACTTGTCCTTACTGTGGGGCCTTTAATGGTGAGTATTGACATGAGCAGTTTGTGAAGTTATCTGCTCTGATGGTTTTTACCTTAATGGCTGTGATAGTATCCAAATCTTGGATATGCTCATTCATTGTACTGCTAATGGGTATTCTCTCTGACCTTTGTTAAAGAAACAGGTAATTGCATTTTTAGGGCCAGACACATGCCTGTTCACATCTCAGTTGTGTGGATATAGACATTTTCCTAGTTGCTTGTTTCATGGTAGTAACCAATATTTGATACTTGAATAATGACAAAAAAAAGCCCCTTTTAACCTGTTTTTAAAGATATTGTGACCTATTGGCAGTGATCAATACGTTCACATAAAAGCACTGATAGCATTCGTAATTTTGAGTGAGCATAATTTTTCATCATTGTATTAGATTACCTTTCTTAAGATTATTCTTTCTTCAGGGCATAGTATTTTTGTAAGAGTTTGTATCTGGTTTTCAAAATATGTCTTGGTGTTTTTTCATCTACAGAGATCATGAGTTACTGCTGTTTAAGGACTTGGAGTATTGCAAATTTATAGTAGATGATTAATCCATAACTTAACACTTGTACCTCATGGAAATTGTGGGTTCTTTGTTGAAATGGTCACCCACTCAATAAAAGGAGAGCTGCTTTATCATAAGTGCCCTATCTACACATAGGGGGCATTTAGAAAAGTTACATGATGGGTCAGAATTCTTCAGTAAAAAAAATTGAGCATTTGGACTAGTCTATGGAAGTTTCATGAATAATGTTACCTGCATGACATGAAAATATTTATCAGATTTTTCTGATAATTCACTTCCAAAATTACTTCAGAAGGTACTGGTATGATTCACAAATGGCACTCCTTAGTCCTGTTTTTAGTTTAGGAACTTCTACTTTAGAAATATCTGCTGTGAATAAGGGGAAGCTGAATTAACGTGTGGGCTAAACCACCTACTTTCAGCCTCAGAAGCTGCACCATCATGTAGATACACCAAGCCATCCATATAAAAATATAAAAAAGTATAACTTGATTGTCCTTTTGTTCTTCTGTGAGTTTAGGAAACTGGTTAATAAAGCTGATAAAGTTTTATTTTATTCTTGTGTTCACTGAAGGTTTAGCTTGTTTTGAAACTGTAACTTGATTAAGGTTTGGTGGTGTTTTGTTTGGTGTTTTTGTTATTTTGAAAGAAAATCCCAAGATAATCAATATTTAATTCCTTGCAGGAACTGTGAAGAAGTGTGGTTTGTTGAAAATAATACATGAAAAGTACAAGACAAATAAGAAAGTCGTAGATCCAATAGTATCTACTTTTCTCCAGTCCTTCGAAACTGCCATTGAATATAACAAAGAAGTAGAACCCTTACTGGGAAGAGCTCAGGTGAATTTTGTTATAACCTAAATTTTTTGCTAATTTTTGTGCATGAAATAAAACTCCTTAAACATTTGCAATGTATCAGCTAAAGTCTTGGGGTGATCCAAGAATTTTGTATACCAAAAGATACATGAAGAATGTTTGTATCCAATGCAATAGCGTTAACTTTGAGAAAATTAGTATATTACCATGTTCTGATACACCATTACCTGCTTGTAAAGAAAGGGATGTTCTTGGTGTGTTATGCTTCAGTAAACTAGACAAGGAAGAAGAAACACAGGTTCATATAAAGTTTGAATGTATATATAGATTCCCTGTAACTCTGGTATTAATTCCAATACACAATTTTTTTTTTTCTTCAGAAGTTCTTAATGTTGAGAAGGAGAGAGGAAGCTTAATTTGCTAACTTTTTTGTTTCATTAGTTTTTCATTGTATGCAGTTTTGTTTCTGTCAGTTCTTTGCAAGCTGGAAAGATCGCCAGGTACTACTTGGATAGAAAAAACAGTGAATACAGCAATAGCTGTACTAAGACGAGCAAAATTAAGTTTTGAAAAATATCTAGGAAGTACTGTAATACTTCCTGGAGTATTGATAGTTTCTAAAATACTGATCTTTTACTAATAAAATGAAAACTTTGTTTCATTTTACATTTCAGAAAAATGCACTTTGTAAGTTTGTTGTACGATGTTAATTGAGTTGCTTTGTCTATTAATAATTAAATACTCTCCATTAACTCTTGAGGCAATAGAAAAACATGATAAGAAGTAAACACACATATATAGGGAAAAAATTGAGGAAAAGAATGTATAGCAGGTTAACATTTGAAATGCCAAAAGCATTGGTTCAAAATAAACAAACCAAAACATAGTTTTGTTTGCATGAACAGTTCTCTATTTGCTGTTGAAAAAGGCTATTTCTGAACTTCAGTAAAGGGGAGGAGGGGAAGCATTGCAACTTGACATGATGGCTTTTTCTCCCCATTTTCCCAATGGATTTTCTAGGAAAACTTGAATCCTTTGGTAGTATTGAACCTCTTTAAAAGAATCCCAGTGGAAGACATCCCTCTACTTCTGATGAACCCACAAGCAGGTAAACCTTCAGATTTGATCCTCACACGACTCCTGGTGCCTCCACTGTGCATCAGACCCTCTGTTGTGAGCGATTTGAAGTCTGGCACCAATGAGGACGATTTGACAATGAAGCTGACAGAGATCATTTTCCTCAATGACGTAATAAAAAAGGTAAGTCAGCCTTCACGCTCTGAGACTTGCCTTTAGAAAGATTTGTGTAGAATTGAATGTAGCAAGGGGGCTTAGTGCTTACAATCTGGTGCTATATTTCTGTGTCATTGGACATTTTACTGAAGTATAGGAGAAGCTCACTTCAGATGGAGCTGGCTGACTGGCTGCTTGTGGTGTAGGACCTGCTGAAGGTCTGCTGGGATTCTTATGGGAAATGGTTTTTCATTTCACCTGTGGTCTGTTAACTCTTTCTTATTTTTCTTTTTTCTTCTCTTCTAGGACTGTCACACCTTTTGAGTAGTCACTTAAAATGAAAATATTACATCCTTTTTTGTCTTGTAGACTTGCCTCTTTTTTTACACCTTTGTGCTTTATTTATTCCACCATCTGTTCTTGAGAAATCAGGTTTAATTGAGCTTAGTCATCAAATTGATACTAAAAGATGATTTGATATTTTATAATTTGTTTATATTTCTACCAGAAAATACTTTTTCACACTTTTCAAAACTGTTCCTTTGCCAGGCAGACAAAATGAATTGAGTACTAACTCTTTGATGATTGAAAAATTATTAACTACTGTTTTTCCTGTCTGTTAAGTTATATTAGCTTAAGTATATTGGGAAAAATGTAATTTAAATAAATACCTAATTTTGCAAGCATTTATTCAAAGCCCATATTAGTCAAAAGGTTTGTTTTTTGGTTTTTTTCGCTGGGTTCCCTTGTGATGGGCCTTATGCTACAGCAATATGCATCCAGTTACAAAGTAATTTTCCCTTTTTCTTTCCAATCAATGGAAGCTTCATGATATTATTTACAAAGGTAGAGTTGCACTCATAACAGTAAAATTCTTGGCTAATTTGGTATGTGTTATATTTATTTTCTGAATTGGATGACTATTTTTTTTAGCATAGGATATCAGGAGCCAAAACACAGATGATTATGGAGGACTGGGATTTTCTTCAACTGCAGTGTGCCCTGTATATTAATAGTGAGCTCTCTGGAATACCCCTCAACATGGCACCTAAAAAGTGGACCAGAGGTTTTGTTCAGAGACTTAAGGGAAAGCAAGGTTTGTCTAAAAAATTGCTTTAATTATTTTTTTGTTATTTAACCACAAATCTTTGCTATTGCCAAGTGTCTCTCTGCTACCGTTGTGTTGCACTTCAGTGCTGTACCTTAAAAGATTGTTCTAATGTGCTGTCTTAACACTATTAACACTAAAAACTATTTTTATTTAGAGTTTTAACTGATTTATTTTCTTAGGTCGGTTTAGAGGCAATCTGTCTGGAAAGAGAGTGGATTTTTCTGGCAGAACAGTCATTTCACCTGATCCTAACTTAAGAATAGATGAAGTAGCAGTGCCTATTCATGTTGCTAAAATACTGACCTTTCCTGAAAAGGTAAGTAGCATAGGACTCAGAAGCTTTTTCTATTCCTTTTTTTTCCACAAGTCAGACGTCAGTGTTGTTTCTTTACTCACTCTAAAAAGGAATGAATGTATTACATTGTGTTTGAAATGCCATTTAGTGATGCTATGCCAGTTGCCGCTGGCAAATAAAGATCTGTAGTGTTGGATATAGGCAAGTGCTGACGGGATGTGGTATAAGGAGTGACATCTCTGGAACTAAGAGTTTTGCTTCATATTTTTTCAACTCATTCATAAATTTGTATGAAGGAGTGGTTGGGTATTTTTATTTCTAAGTTTCCCTCCCAGATTTTTAATTTAATTTCCCTCTGATATTCTGATAGGCTGACATTTTCCTCCTCTGTTCCTTCCTGTGAGTTCCCCTCAGCAGCTAGAGGCTGTGTAGGAGGATTGTCACTTGAGCCTAAAATTTGAGAACACAAAAGCCACCAGTAAAAACAAGATCCTGAAACATGTTCTGTTTGTTTCTGATTTAAGTCTTTATGCAACAGGTGAACAAAGCAAATATTAATTTTATGAGGAAACTTGTCTGTAATGGTCCTGATGTTCACCCTGGAGCAAACTTCATACAGCAAAGGCACACCCAGATGAAAAGGTATCATGCTTATCTGTAATGATTCACTTTTCATTTCTCCCCATCTACTTGTTCTTGTTACTATGTGAATGCAGTTATATCTGCAGAATCTTTCATAAGGGATAGTAGAAAAAGAATTGTCTTCTGTTCTCATGTATAGTGTACAGTTTTTTTAAGTAGTCTTTTGCAATTAAACTAAAGTGCACATACTAATGATGTTGAATTGCAATTAGATTTATATTCTTTTATGACTGAGTCTATCTTAGTTGTAAGAGAGGGTGTAGTACAGACATGAGTGAAAACAGATGGTTTTGGGCAAGTTGTACTGGCTGTTTTCATGTAGGACCTAATCTGCAGTCAGTTTATGGGTAGGGAGAAGGGGTTATACATGAGTGAAACTTCCTATGCTCTGTTACAATTGAAATAAATTCTGTGTATTTACAAATGGACTTCTTTCTTACTTAATGTTCTAACCACTGTAGCTTTGTTGACTAATGTCAAAATACATTCATTGCTTAAAATAGCAGCAAATGATGTTCAGTCCACGCTAGTTTCATCTTCTAGTTATTGTAATACAAATACTCCAGCATTTAATGGAAAAGCTGGCATTATAAAATCGGAAAGGATTTTTAGTTGTCTTTCTGTCTACTGTCTGTGTATCTTCTGACTGCATTATTACTTGTTCCCATGAAGATTTTTGAAATATGGGAACCGAGAGAAGATGGCCCAGGAGCTGAAATTTGGTGATATTGTGGAGCGACATCTGATAGATGGCGACATTGTCCTGTTCAACCGGCAGCCCTCTCTGCACAAGCTGAGCATCATGGCTCACATTGTGAGTGCACACAGGCTGACACTGACAGTGCAGCCTGGAATATTAGGCACTTGACCTCTATGGTGTTTCTGTCTCACACAAGCAAAAATAAACGGCTCCTGCTGAAACTGTGTGTGCAGCAAGGATGAATGCAGTGCAGTTGTGCCTGTGTGTGTTAATGATGTGTACCCAGGCAGGATGCTGTGTGCACACTTCTGCCAAGAGCCATAATTGACCTCGCTATCTCTTGTGTGAGCATTTCATTTTTGTGGAGTTGATGTGATCTCTACAAAGCGCGTTGTCTTCTGGGCTTTTTATAAATTCTTCATAATGAAAATTATTAGCTGCATTTCTATAAAAGAATGTGAGTGCAATTTCTGTCAGTTCCCGGTTAAATCCTATAATCAGGAATTTTGACTCATATTTGTAATATAAAAAGGAAGTCTTCAGGGAAGCACTTGGGCATGGATTTTTTTAGTCGTGCTTGACTGTATGTGCATTAATTTATTTATTTTTTTCCTCTTCCAGGCCAGAGTAAAACCACATAGGACATTCAGGTTCAATGAATGTGTCTGTACACCATACAATGCAGACTTTGATGGAGATGAGATGAACCTTCACCTTCCTCAGACAGAAGAAGCAAAAGCAGAAGCACTTGTTTTAATGGGGGTGGGTAGATAAAATGCTCGTGTTGGGATTTTGCTGGTCACAAATGGGCTGAGCCCTTTAGTTCTTAACTTGCTTGTGAAATCTGAAATACTATGGAGATTACTGAGTGTGGATAATTTATAACTTTGCAAAAAGGTCTTCAGATTAAATTAGGACTGTTACATCCTGGTAATCTAATAGCCTGAGGTTTAACATCTTGGGAAAATGCAGTGTAAGTAGATGGCACCAGTAGGTTTCTGCCTGACTGTCCTTAGTGATTGCTACCGGACTAGGGTGGCTCTGTTACCAGCAGATCCATCTGGTTTTTTCTGCTCTGACAGCCTGGGAATTGTAGATGGACCAGCTGGAAATGAGGTGGCAATCCTTGGCTTGTACTGGAGAAGGCAGCTTCCCAAAGATGGCAGGAGAGAATAGGCTCATAAGGCAGGGTCAGAAAGGGAGAAGGGAGGGTAGATAAATTGGGACCTGATGGTTGCAAGCTTTATCAGTGGTGTGAGTCAGTAGCACCAAGGTGAGGTGAGCAATCCATTGCTCCTTTAGGGTTACCTAAAGGTAACTCCTGCTTCAGAAGTGCCCATACAGTTGTTGGCTGCAGCCTGTAGGAGCTCACTGAACTGACTTGTGGGCTTATAAAGAACACCCCCAGTGTTTGATACAGGTCTGTGTGGGATGGGTTCTGGCAAAACCGCTCCACAGGCAGGGGTGATTAACTGGAGCAGTAGTTTGAGTAGAGCATAAGATCATGGGGCCAGAGGTAGCTTGATTGTTACCCATCAGAAGGGACCACACAACTTGTAGTTTTCCAGTAGATCCCTATAGTTGTCTTTGTTCCCTGTCCTACCAAAACATGTCAAGTTGCTTGCCACTTCTGCTTTGGAAACAGAATATGTAAATTGTAATTTCTGATAACTTTTCTCAATAGATATGCGTGGACTGAAGTGAACTGAAACTTCTGGCTTATTTTTTCTATCTTTTTGAAGAAAGCTGTAGCTCAATTTAGAATAAGCTTTGACCATTTCACCATAAAATAAATTTCTTAAATGGGAGGTTCCATTTTGAATAGTAAGTGGAATATCAGTGTCTTCAAATGCATATCTTTTTGTGTCACACAGACTAAAGCAAACTTGGTAACACCAAGAAATGGAGAACCTCTTATTGCTGCTATTCAAGATTTCCTCACAGGTGTGTATGAACTTATTTCAGAGCTGTGTGATCTAATAGTTGTTCCTTCAGAATCACTTTGCTTTTTCAGAATTTTTCTATATTAATTAAAAACTATTAATTATTAAATAAAAAATAAATATTAATTATTAAAAAGGCCCTTTTTTTCCTGAAATACAAGGACGCTCTCAGAGTAATTTCTGATGCTCTCTACCTTTGTAGCTGCAGTTATTATTACCTTTGAGTGTATTTTGCTGTGTTTTTCTGCAAATGAGTTTGAAATCTTTGTCTGTGTTCAGTAGACAAAGTAAACTGTTTATGATTATGGAAGAGGAGTTGATTTCAGTCAATAAACATTAGCTTTGACCTATAGTATGTACCTTCAATGTCTTTAATTCTTTGAGAAATGTGTGATGAACATAAGAAAGAAAGCATACAAAAACAAATGCCAAGGCCTTATTTCACTTATAAAATCGAGTCTGAGAGCAAGAGAATAAGTTATAGAAATAGACTGTACCTAATTTTTAGATATTTAGTGTGGAGCAATTAAAAAAAATTCTGGAAAGGATTTATAGCTAAAGCTTTCTAAACTATTGTAGTTTTGTATAGTAAGTAGCTGATTAGTATTAGAGTGAAATAAGTGACACTGAGTATGCAATAGCTTTTAAATTGAATCTAAATTTAGTCTGTCATGCTACTTTTTTCATTCCAGGTGCCTATCTTCTAACATTGAAAGACACCTTTTTTGATCGAGCCAAAGCCTGTCAAATTATTGCTTCTATCCTGGTTGGCAAGGATGAAAAGATCAAAGTTCGTCTTCCACCCCCAGCAATTCTGAAGGTGTGTCAAACTATTTTTTTCATGTTACTAAGACTTTCTCTGTTGTGTCATTTTGACCCCTGGTGATGCTACATTATGGATGCTAAATGCAAGCAGTGTCTGTGGGAAAGCAAGTCACATAACTTTCTCAGACTAACCTGAGAAAGTGGCCTGGGAAATCATAAGGAGGAATCAAAATAATCCTTAGAGATAGAAGACAGCCTTGCAGGTGTTGCTTGTCAGTTTCTTGTTTTCTTGCAAGAGAAGGTCGAGGGGTGGTGTACCCCACTGATGAATGATGGTGATGTGTTAGTTCATTGATCAATAAGGGTTTTACCTTTCCAGACCTTCACGTATTTGTCTGTTAAAGAAGATCTGGGGTAATAAACCTTGCTCTCCTGTTCAACTCACAAGAGAGTCTATGTTGTGCTTCTTGCTGTTCCCAATATAGTGCGACATTACATCAATCTTTAAGCTCCTAAAGTTTTAAATCAAAGGTACTTCATAAAGAAATAATTGTGAAGGATAACCATTCAGCACTCAGGGGGTTTAAATCTATGAAAGTGGATAATATTTTTCAAAGGAATGCTGCTATGCATTTCTACAGGTATGAATCTCTGCAGACATGTTCTGTATATAAAGCAATTTTACGATTCTTGCTTGCTCTTTTTCTGTAACTGTAGCATAAACTTGTAATCTTTATTCTTCTGTTTCTCTCAGCCTGTAACACTCTGGACAGGAAAACAGGTTTTCAGCCTCATTCTCAAACCCAGTGATGATTGTCCTGTAAAAGCCAACCTACGAACAAAGGGCAAGCAGTATTGTGGCAAAGGAGAGGACCTGTGTTACAATGATTCCTGTAAGTGACATTTCTAAAGCCATGTTTTGGAAGTCTTCAAAGAAGTCATAGAAATTACTGAGCTCACTGTAGGCATTGAAGCAGTACTTGACATAAGTGTTCTTGAAATGAAAAATAAAATCTTGCAGTTTTTCTTGAGAGTTGAAGTCATGCTAAACATGTTTTCTTAAACTGAAATGTCTTTTGTATGACGCTCAGCTTGTCATGATGCTAACTTAGTGTTTGAAGGTGAGAGAGAAGAAAGCAAAGCTTAGGAAGTGGTTGTTCAGAGGGCAAACGGAAAAATTTAGTCTACTGATGGGGGATAGTAATGCAGGAATTGCAAGTCAAACACTGAAAAGAGTTAGAATGTGCAGAGAAGATGAATCCCTAGGGTATCAAGCCATCCATGTCCTTCCGTTTAGGGACATCAGTGGCAGATGGAATGCAAAGCCCCGTGGTTGAAAAGGCTGTAGGAGATGAGCAAGACTTAGCTTAGAATTAATTGATCATTCATGTGGTGACTGTTGGAAAGGAACAGGCAAAGTTAGGCTGGTTCCTTGCTGCTCACAAGTTTAAGTTAAGGAGTCATTGATTTACACTAATACTGTCATGCAATGTTGTCTTGAGAAAGAATATCCTAGTTGGCCCTCAAGTCCTTTCTACAGATAAGAGTGATTTCTGTAGATGAGAATAACACTCTGTGCTATGAAGTTGGTTGTAAACATGGTGGAGCAATATTTTTCAGCTTGTAAATACTGTGGGATAAAAGGTCACAAAGCAATCCTGCTCACACTCTTGTGAACGTAAGATATCTTTATTTCACAGTCTATTAATTTTAGAAAATATGGGAAGAGTTTCTTTTTTCTGAGTTTAACAGGAGCACATGATGTGGAAAACTTACAGATTTTGTTGTTGACTGTGTTCAGTTCTCCGAAAAAAAATCATATCTGAAGGCATAGTGATTCTCTTCAGAAAGTTCTCTGCAAATTCTTAATAGTCTCAAGAAAACCCAGTATCGTGTTTTCATTTGATATAAGTGATAGAGCAGGGATTTGTGCTTCAAGAAGATGATACCTAAATGCACATTGAAAATATTGAGCATGGACAAAGCTTGTATTTCAAAATTCTCTCCATAAATGATTAGTAGTGCATAGTGAATGTTTTAGAAAACTGGTGAATTCTTTTTGCCTTTTCATTTCTAGATGTCACAATTCAAAACAGCGAGTTAATGAGCGGCAGTATGGACAAAGGAACACTGGGCTCAGGATCCAAGAACAACATCTTCTACATCTTGCTGAGAGACTGGGGCCAGGTGGAAGCTGCGGATGCCATGTCACGTCTGGCCAGACTTGCTCCAGTCTATCTTTGTAAGTACATTTCCTTGTAAAATAGTACTTTAATGCTGAAATAAAGAGCAAGCCAGATTTTTGCTTTGAATACATGTTGTGCTTTTAAAAAAATAAGCTTGTTTTGAAGCTGATAGACAGGGAATTTATTGTGGGTATGAAGTGCTTGTGGTGGTCACATGGTGGGAGGCAAAATTGAAAGTTGCCAATAATATTTCCTGGGTTTGTTTCCTCTATATGAGATTGAGCTATAAAAATAATTTATTTTCTTTTTAATAATAGCTAATCGTGGCTTTTCAATTGGGATTGGTGATGTAACCCCTGGGCAGGGCCTGTTAAAAGCTAAGTATGAGCTCCTGAATGCTGGCTATAAGAAATGTGACGAGTATATTGAAGCTCTGAACACTGGCAAGCTGCAGCAGCAGCCTGGTTGTACTGCAGAAGAGACACTAGAGGTAAAATTTTAAATTTAATTCACTATCCACTTGGAGTAGAGGCTTCACAAATACATTCTTGTACATTGTAAAGTCTAAAGTTGTCTTCTGAAACCTAAAAATACAAGCATATACAGTCCCTAGGCATGTAACTTGAGCTGAGTCTGTGTAGACTTAAGATGCTTGTGTGCATCTAAAAATGTTAGCTAAACACAGGACAACTGAAATCCTCCAGGGTGGAATGGGGTGATACAAGAGAATAGAATTACACAGGTAATTGTAATGGAGTTGATTCCATTGATCGAGATTTTCATGGTTATCTTCCATGTAGCACAGTGTGACTTAACCTTTAGTGCAATGCTCAGTTTAGCTGATGTTTTTGATGCTGATAAGAGATTGTCATGTTCCTGGATTCCCCCTGTCTTACCCCAACAGAGACATTTTCTTCAGCAAACTGGAAGTTAGACAAGCTGAAATTTAAAACTGTTTTACTTGTAGCAAAAACTGGGTTTCTTTGTCTTTACTGTATTCTAAATTCCCTGTGACTACTGAAGGTGTTGCTGGGAGTAATAGAATTGTTTGTGGTAGTGTTTTTTAGCAAATTCTGAACCTCTGAAATACTGTATTTCAGGCCTTAATCCTTAAGGAACTATCTGTTATCAGAGATCATGCTGGCAGTGCCTGTCTTAGAGAACTGGACAAGAGCAACAGTCCCCTGATCATGGCTCTCTGTGGTTCTAAAGGTAGGGACAGCTGAACTTGGCACGAAGGTTGTTCACTCCTTCACTTATATGAAACTTACTTGTTCCATCCTTATAGCTTGTTCTATACTGTCAGTTGTGCAAGTTCATGTCATAGCTGCTTTAAGTGGCTCAGTAAGTACAGGTTGGGTATAGTTAGTTAGAATCAAGCTGATGTTCTGACATTCTTGTGTCTTAATTGTAGTAACAATTGACAGTTTTAAGTAATTCCCCCTGTTCTATCACTACATGCCCTTGTGTAAAGTCCCTCTCTGACTTTCATGTAGCCCCTCTTTAGGCACTGGAAGGTACTATGAGGTCCCTCAAATTCTTGAGTGAGTTTTCATTTGTTTCCTTCAAGAATTTGAAAAAATCACTTTTGCATTTTTTAGCTGTCTAATAAATTGTGGAAAGCCTTATAAATGACATGTTGTCTTCTAAAGAAATACTGAAATCTAAAATGAGGAATATATTAGGTGTATAATTTTTGTGGGGGTGATGGGGAGGCGTTGTTTGCCAACATACTCAGCAAACAAACCTTCTGAATTAGTGGCTTCGTTCTCTGGGACTTAGTTTGTTCTAGGAGTCCTGGTAGACACTGAATGCTTTATGAAAAATATTGTTGGAAGTATGTTTATTGAAGAAATTGTGAAGCAAAATACATAGGTTAGGATCATGGACTATGTAAAACACAATCTGTAATACACCCCAGGATAATATAAGGACTGGAGCCAAATTACGGCATGAGTGTCTTTGACCCAAATTTTAAAAAAGTTAAATATTGTTGGCTGTATCATAAACTTAATTCCCAGCCTTTGCATAAATGCTGAAATGAACAGGATGAGTTACAGAAAAACTTCTCTAACTCTTGCAGTTCTGTTTTGTTGAGCAGTTATGAGGTTAAGCAACTGATTTTCATGGGAGTGAAGATAGCTCATCAAGGAAGCAGCATATCCCTCATTTGTGAGTGAGGGGCTTTCTTTTCCTTTGTTTTTCAGGCTCCTTCATTAACATATCCCAGATGATTGCTTGTGTGGGGCAGCAGGCTATCAGTGGGTCCCGTGTTCCCGATGGGTTTGAGAATAGGTCCTTGCCTCACTTTGAGAAGCATTCTAAGGTAATTCTGGATGTTTACAATGGACTTTGAAGGGAAGTGAAACAAGTTTGCTTAAGCCATTTTGAGAAGAGAGCATGATAAAATGTGTTGTCGTGACATGCTGAAGGAAAAGGATCATATATGGTCAATATCAAGTGTTTTGTGTGATTTGAGAGCTAACAACAGTGTTCTGAATTGCTGTAGGATATCTAGTTAGCTTGACTTTTTACAGCTAAGCCTTGCTTTGATCTTTCTAATTTAGTAAAATTAAAGTGAGGTGATGATACATTTTTGGTTCTCTTGAGATTCCTAAAAATAATTTTTTCAAGTTTCTTGCTGGTGTTATATTTGACTGCACTAATACTTTCCAGGAAAACTGCTGAATGTGTGTTGGTGTTTTTATAAATAGGTGAGACATGCCAGATAAACCATTCTGGTTTTTCTCCTTTTCCACCAGGATAGGTACAGTGGGTTATTTTCAGTGTTTCATGTCTCAGTTCGGTTCCACACGAAGCAATAATGACTCTCATGCACTTATATATAGAATTCAGTGAGATTAATTTCTTTTAAAGTGCTGTTTGAAATCTAATGAACACTACAAAGGTTCTAGGTATAAGCCCATAGTCTAGCTAGTGTGTTAGCTAAGTGTCAGATGGTATCTATGACGCTGGCATATGTGATTAAATGTCTAAATTCAGCTTCTGCATTCTGTAACATACTGAATAAGTAGAAAAAGAAACAATATTTAATGGATTAAATAAAAAGAAAAAAAATTCAGCTCTAGCTTTTTTTCTGATTTAGAAAGCATTACTTGTTAAATAACAACAAAAAGTAATTTTTGACTTAAAGAGATGCCTGTATAAATTTCACTGGCAAGAACTATCCTCATGAGTGAGGGCAAACCATTCCAAAAAATTAATTATATACATATCCCCAGTTATATTTTTCCTGGATTCCTTAGTCTTCAGCAAATACCTTTGAACTACCATAGCAAAATGAACATTCCTACTTGTGTTTTCAGTTTTTTCAAGTTTAATGGAATGTTGGTATAGTGTTGGGGAAGGAATAGCTCGAAGTGTGACAAAGTTTGTAGGGGGAAAGAGAAACTATTAAATTAGTTTGGAAGAACTAGGCAAGGGTTTCTGAAACCTTTATTCAGATCTGAAAAACAAATATGGAACTTGAGAGCTAAGCAGGGCTGAGATCATTGTCCTGTGTTGGTGGGGGTATTGGCTAACCTTGGGATAGAATTCCAATGACATGCACCATGTCTTTCTGTAACATACAGAATGCTTGTTGCATTTTAACTGTGTTTTTCCCACTCTTCCCTGCAGCTCCCTGCAGCAAAAGGCTTTGTTGCAAACAGCTTCTACTCTGGGTTGACTCCCACTGAATTTTTTTTCCACACAATGGCTGGTCGAGAAGGTCTGGTTGATACAGCTGTAAAAACAGCTGAAACTGGGTATATGCAGGTAACTGTCAGCAGAGTGAGGGTTTTATCAGTCTTGGAAAATGTGGCTATTTCTCATGTGCATGTCGAGGTGATGGATCAGGGAGAAGTGCAAACATTGTGTGTTTTCAATGTAACAGAAAAATTTATACTGTGAAATACATGGCTTGCTCTGTTCTTCAGAAGGTGTGGAGTTTGTGAGACCTTAGCCAATGGTACAATAACATGCTTGTATTAAGCTATTTCCTCTTGGATATGGGTTGTAAAAGTCCTTGTTCTGTGCAGCTATTGACAACTGCTTTCTGTGTAGTGTGCTCCTAAACCTGGAGTGATTACAGAAATACAGCTAAAGCTCCCTTTCAATGTCTGTTCTCTCTTGGTAAGAGGCACCTTGGCCGTATAGACTTAGACTGGTTCTGTAAGACTTTAGTGTCTCTGGCTGTAAATAAATGTCCCTCCAACAAAGCTTCTTGCTGTTATGTGCAGTCTCAAGATTTCTGTTCCAACATTTAAGTAGTACTTAAATTATAGCCCGCTTCCCAATGTAACAGTCAGTAGAAAAGCCAAGATAATTTGGGGCTGGGAACACATTCCAAGATACACAAGTAACTGTACAAAGACAGAAAAAAAACACCTTTTGGGGTGGGTGACTAATTAGACCATTTGTCTCCAAAACTAATGGAGTAATCTTGGCATGTGTGCAAGTATTTATAGATGTATATAAATATAGTAAGCAACCTGCAAAATACTTTTCCTCTTCAACTTTCTTCCAGTATCAATGAATTTTAACACTTGGACTTTGAAATTAAAAAAAAAAAAATCATGGCATTTATTTTATCTTACCTTTTTTATCATGCTTGAGAAAAAAATACCAATTTATAGTCTACTTTAGGTGATCTAATTTACTTTCAAGGAACAATGAAGTCCATACTTCAAGTAAAAATGTTTTTAACCTAAAATGTTTCATAGTATGCTTTCCTTTTGGGAATGCAAAGGAATATGGTAGTTAAGGAACTTCCCAATATAAGGAGTTAATGTAGGAGAGGCAAATAACCCAGATAGAAAAATGGCTTTGGCAGGTGACCTCTTTGGTTTTTCTCAGTGAAAACAAGTAGTTCTGCTTTCATATACAAGAGTATTGTATCCCTTGAGAAATAAATCTGCTTGGAAGAATATGAATGTTATGTCAGAAAAACCCACCCAAATAAATCCTTCAAACTACAATAGGTTTTTGCAGCTTAGCATTAGGTTTTCTATATAGTGCAATTCTAAATGTGGAGTATTGTATTGTTGCGTGAAATTTTGTTGACTTTCATGTTCTGTGCAATGTACAGTAAATCCTGAGGGCTGTAATGCATGATTTTAAATAGGTTTTCATGCCTGCTCATCACTGTCAGATTTATTTCCTGAGTCCAGTTCCTGTACTTCTTGTATTGCAAATCAACAGTTATATTTAAAAAGATACATTTTACTTTCCTTGGTTTTTTTTTTTCCCTTTCAGAGACGTCTGGTGAAATCTCTTGAAGATCTTTGCTCACAGTATGATTTAACAGTAAGAAGTTCTACTGGTGACATTATACAGTTTATTTATGGAGGAGATGGCTTGGATCCTGCAGCTATGGAAGGGAAGGATGAACCACTGGAATTCAAGCGAGTTCTAGATAATATCAGGGTAAGGATTACTGAAATCCTTTTTGAAAGTGTGAAAATACTGTTAAGCATGGAGAAGAAAGTAGTAAATTATGGGGAAAACTGTTTCAGGCAGTATTTATTTTCAAATTGCCTTTTTGAATGGTCTTGGTCAGTCTTTCAGCATGTGTGTTCTAAGAGTAATAGATACTTTTTCCAGTTTGTGTACAGAGACCAAACCATGTATAAGCTGTGAAAAGTAAAATTTCTTTCTGTGCTTGAACATAGTTTTAGGGCCTAATACCTAATTCACTAGATAAATTGCTACTGGGTTATTTGAGTACTAGTTTGGTACACTGCATAGATTAATTCTCTATTAAATTGAGATGTGGATATTCTTGAGTTGAACTGGCTGGTGGTTATTCAGTAATATTGTGATGTTTGAAGACTTGTATTGTTCAGTTTTAGTTTTCTGGTTGGTGTGTTGTGATCCCTTTCCACCAGAGAAAAGCCTTTTGCTGAGATAACTGTTTAGATTTCTGTAATATGAGTGTAATAAATGGGTAGAACTAGAAATGTCTGGGTGTGTACCTTCAGATTTGCAGAAATAAGTAGGAGTGGATGTGGCTCTTCTTTACACAGTAGTCTAATGTAGTATAATATAGTCTAATATAGTATACTACAGTAAACCAAACCAACCAAAAAGTCTTCATTAAGCAAACTACGAAAAGACACAACCAGAAATAAAGAATGCTGTTACTCAGTTCTACATATGTGTTCTGTGTCTTTGCAATGGAGTTTTTGTGCATGTGCTGTCTGTGAAGAAGTCGTGTTTTTTCCTGTGAAGGCTGTCTATCCGTGCCGAAGTGAACCAGCCCTTAGCAAAAATGAATTGGTGTTAACATCTGAGTCCATCATGAAGAAGAATGAATTTCTTTGCTGCCAAGAAAGTTTTCTGCAGGTAATTATCTCACTTCCTTATCACACTGTCATTAACTTTTCCTTGTGAATTAAGGACAGGACTTTAGCCTGTCTTGGAGACTACTTACATGGGTTTTAAGGGTGAGTGAAGGTTCACATGACTGCTTGCACTTTGAATTGTAAAATTCAATTTGTTTGAAGGAGTATTGGGCAATTTTAATATTTATGAGAGCAGCCACTCTCAAGATTTCCTTGAGAATCACTGATCAAAACTGTAGAATTAACCTGCCTGTAGAATTAACCTTACCTCCATATAAAGCTGTTATCTTGATGAACCTTCTGATTTCTGGTAGTGATGAGAACAGGATGAATTTAATGACCTGTGTTTGAAGGGTTTCTTTTTAATAGATCAGAGTGGTTCAGAGTACAAGGTAAACCTGAATTGCATGTCCATTGATAGAGTCAAGTTGAAAAAATAGTTATACCCATATTTGAAATATGCTGTAAATCTTAAATGCAAGGAAAAGAAATCAAATAATTTAATATCAGAGTTTGGGGATAAAGCTGTTATTTGAGGTATGCATCTTCTAAGTCATATCATGAAAGTTTAAATAAATGTTATTAATTTCAGAAACACACATATGGCTACCTCACCTTAGTGATAATTAGATTAAGATTTTTAAGTTTTAGATAGTTAAATTTTCTTCTTTCCTTTTTTTTTTCTGTTCATCCTTGAAGGCTTTAACTGAGACAGGTTATGAAAAATATAATGAGGTAATTGTAGCATGTGTGTGCATTGTGTGAGCATTAATGTTAGTGCTTTTTAGCTAAAGATGTGTGTATAGTGCTAAAGTAATTGATTAGCATATATACATTACTGCTTGTTTAATTACAACATAGGTGTTCATCACAATTATTTAACTTTCTTAATGTGGAAACTGTGATACGTGAATTAATAAATTGAAGGATTTTGAGGAAGCTTTCTTTCAGTACTTGACACTTCATTCTAGAAGTCATTCCTTCAGTCTCTAGGGATATGAGCATGTTTTTCTGGTGTTTACCTTTCCTTCCTCCACTTTTCCATTCCAGAACAGAGATGCTTTATAGTCCTGTTATTTTAGTAGGAGGTTCCTATAATTATTATTATAGGAATTAATAATTATAATTATCCAGTCCAGAACATAGCATGTTCTACATATGTAAAATAGCTTACACATGTCTAAATAGCCTCGTCCAAATGGGCAGCATTCTTTCTTCCTGCAGTCTGCCCTTGCTGGAGGAAATTCAGCTGATGAGAAAGCAGACTGTTGGCTGGCACAGTTAATTATAGTAATATTTTAACATATTCGAGTATATTAAGGCATAGGTGAAGGGAATTTTTTTTTATTCAGACTGGAATTGGGGAAATCCTTAAAAGCCCTCACAATTAAAAAAATCAGTCATTTTTCTGTGCTTTTTTTTTGAGATGATGGAATGGGAGTGCTGGGAGTGTGTTGCAAACACAGAAAAAGCTCAGCACACAGCCAGTCAGTTGCTGCCATATTCAGAGTTGGCCTACTGGGTCTGCGCCAAGCGGAGCAGCTTTTGGCTGAATCTCGTGGTATTGTCTGTGCCACTGTGCATTCCAGTGGTTTCTTCACTGCAAGGACTGCAATGTGAGCAGTGCTCCTGGTGTGTAAATGATCCCACTAAGCTGGCTGCTGGGACACCTGATGCAAGCCCTGCGAGCACGAGGTTTGCAGTTGAACCGTCCTTTAGGCTAAACAGCATCTCTGTAGGAGCTGACAAGGCCTGTGTTGAACCACATCTTACTGAACCCCTGTGGTGCCTTTTTGTTAATCTGGTCCAGACAAAGACTTCATGGATTTGGAAGCTGTGAAAAAAAATCAATGATTTTTTGAATCCACTCTGGAAGTTAAATAGCTGTGCTCATAGAGTACAGTGTTGCACTAAAGATTATAAATCCATAGAGAGAGATAGGCTCAGCAAAGATGAGTTATTTTCATTCCATTTGTAGCAAAAAATTAATCCATAGTTTAGATGCCAGAAATCCAAGAAGAATAAGTAATTTCCTCTTTTAGGTGTTCTGCATGAATAAAAATTTGGCAATGAAATATAAGTCTTCATAGATTTATCTTCCACCTTTGCTGACTCTGGTGTATGGAAATAACATCTAATTTGAGTACTTTATTCAGAATTACATATAATGATAGATTTATTGTGTTGGAGTTGTTTGGATGTTTTTTTAAAGGACTTTGGAACTCAAGCACTGTCAAAGAGGAAAAGTCTTCTGCAAGTTCCGCAACATTCCTTTTTTTTGTGCACCTGTAATAAAAAGATAAATTTCTCTAATACCATATTATTGCCTAAACACTTATTTTAGGAAATAAATCACATTATCAGTTTTTGCAAATATTTTGGGGTCAAAAGCCTTAAAAATGTCCAAATGTATTTTTTTGTGAATTATGCTACTTACTGCAGGGCAAAAGAAAGGGGCAAAAACTTGAGTATTCATCCTGTCATCCAAGTGGGGAAGCAACTTTGAAGCATCCATTCCAACAGCACTTTGGTTGTCTGTTCTTCCTTTTGAACTCAGTTCTGGTATTCACAGAAAATAATGTACTCTCTGGGAAGACCTTGAATGCCAGTAAGAATGTTGTTATTCTGAGAGTGAGAATTCTGTTAGAATGTAATGGAAGTGTTTTCATAATGATTTTATGAACTTGGCTGTGAAAAAAAATAAAAAGACAGTCCCTCAGACACGTAGTTTTGCAAGTAATTGTCAGTGCTCGTCTGATTGTGGTGGTTGCAAGGAGTCCGGTACCTAGTGCAGAAGAGGTGATACTGTGTAACCATCACTCTGTTTGTTAAGTAGAAGTAATGGGGTAGAAAGGGTTTAAAAAGACTCTAAAAAAATCCAAGTGTTTGTTTCTCAATTGAGGTTTTCCTAAAACATAGTTGAAATAGATGGGAAGGACTTCCTTTTGCTCTTTGTTTATATTTTGGTTTTGATGACCTTGTGTTATGGTAATGACTTGCACTGAGTCTACGCTTGTGGAGGAGTTTAATCACGGATCTTGTATTTCATGACTTCTTGTGTCATGAAATGTATAGATGTCTATATCCCAAGCGGAATGACTGAATGATCTTTTGTAGAATAAATGTTGGATATTTTTTAACAGAGTTGTTTCAGTGTTATGTTCCAGTAAAGACCATTAGAACTTATTTTGGGTAAGCCTGGTAAGATAGTGAAAGGTCTGTGTACTATGATGTTTTAAATGCAATTATCTGCAAGACCACTCCACAGCATAGAGAAGTTATTTGAATTATATTAGGTAAAGACTGACATGTATATGATAGTTTTGAGGTTTTTTCTCATAAATAAAGTGTATCTCAAATCTATCCAGCAGATATACTTTGTATACTTCCTCTCTCACCACAATCTTTCCATTTCAACTATTTTGAATACTGAGATATGAGTAAGAATGTATTTGTGTCAGTATTGCCAAAAAATAAGAATTTTGAGTTGGGTTTTTTTAAGTTTTTAAATAATTTTTAGTAAGTAGGAAGGAAGGATCAGCCCAGGTATCAAGTCAGGTATCTTCAACTGTCAGTGTGTGCTTAGGAAGGATGCTTTTTATTCAGCATGGACCGTAGTCCTCATGTACTACTACTGATTTGTGGCTACATGAAAGTCGATCTGGTTTGCTAAATTCTAATGTATGTGCTTGTCTAAATTTTGATGTTCTTCTCTTCATATTGTGCGTTATTAATTTATTGTAAATATTTGGAGGGTTAAGTAAATAATTTACTGTTGATGACTTCAAATGGAGGCAATGTCTTTGCTTACTGTGGTTTTAATGTGATTTCAGGAAATTAAAAAATTCATCAAAGGTGTTTCTGAGAAGATAAAAAAAACTAGGGACAAGTATGGAATTAATGACAATGGCACAACAGAGGTAAATAGTTTCAATGGGGTAATGATGTACTTCTTTTCAGTCTTCATAAGTCGTTGCTTTTCCAACTATTCCATTTTCTTTTCAGCCAAGAGTTTTATATCAGTTGGATAGGATTACTCCAACACAACTAGAGAAGTTTCTAGAGACTTGTAGAGACAAATACATGAGGTGAGTGTTTGCCCTGCAGTGTTCTCAGTGCTGCTTTTCTGTTGGTGACTTATGGGTGTATTTTGCTGTTTTTACTGTATGAGTGCTGGTTCTGTTGTGAATGCAGTACAAAGACTTAGAAACAATTGGCTCCAATGACATAAACATTACAAGACAAAGGTAGGATTAAAAAAAAAATTACTGTCTACAGATGTGCTTGTTAAGGCAGAGTTGAGTCTTGTAAGTCTTATGCAAAAGTTCTAGAGGTCTAACAGGTGGAGTTCCTACATTTGTCTTGAATCAAAATCAGATCCTTTCATTAACAGACTTTGGTATCCTTTTATACTGTAAAAAAATGTTTTTTTCATTTTATATTTCTTGAGCATGCAAAGCTATCTGCTTGTGTTTAAGCACCTTCCTTCTGAAGTAATAGTTATACCAACAAGCACAGTTTCAGCCTTTAGCTACTCATTACTTGTATCCACAGACTGTGTTTTGACAGCAGATTCTGGTAAAAGCCAAAAGTGATAGGATTCAGAGTAAGGGAGGATATTGTTTAAACACTTCACAATCTTACACCCACTGCCAGACATGTTTCCTTCCTCCCCCTCTTGCAGAAGGTTTTTGAAAACCTTCAATAAGTCCATACAGAACAAAGTCTGAATAGATGAGTTTCAAATTCATATGAGTCTTGATAGCTATTCTTATCTACACAGTCTGAGGAGTTATATTGCTCTTTGTTCTAAAATGTTCTTTGATCTGTTATGCACTCAGAGGATCCTTTGTTTGCTATTCTTGGTTTTTACCAGGATAATGCTAGTGTGGATGTTCTAGTCTCTTTATCCATTGAGATTTATTTCATTTACTTAGACTTCTTGGATTTGGACATTCACATGCAGCCATGAGTGATCTCTCCTTTGTGGTCTACCTGCATCAATTGTTTCCTAATGTTTTATTCTTCTAGAAAATTCATGAATGTGTTAGATTCTTTACTATTTTAAAGCAATTACCAGGTTTTTGCTTTACCTTATTAGGAGTACTTGTTTACATTTGTCTTAAATGTTTTTAGACATAAATCATCATTTTTACTGTAATAAGTAAATGTTAGCATATGGGGTTTCCCTAAAGGGAGAATCCTGGATCTAGTGATTGATGCTCAGGAGGAAGAGGAGAAGCATTTTGTAATTTGTTATGGAAGTTATGCTCCATCTGAGGAATGCTTATATAACAGGGCATCTTCTTGCTTTGCATGAGATCAGCCTTAAATTGGTGACCTTTCAACCTCTCTCTTGTATGTTTACTGAAATAATGTATTAACAAGCTTCTCATATATCTACCAGAATAGTTTGTTATTGTTTGCTTGGGATCTTATACATTATTCAGTTCCATATCTCTTTCTATATTTTTTATCAGGGCACAGATGGAGCCTGGTTCTGCAGTAGGAGCTCTCTGTGCACAGAGTATTGGTGAGCCTGGCACACAGATGACTCTGAAGACTTTCCATTTTGCTGGTGTTGCTTCAATGAACATTACTTTGGGTGTGCCAAGGATCAAAGAAATCATTAATGCTTCTAAGGCTATTAGGTACTAATATTATTTTTATTTGTTTGGGGTTTTTTTTCCTTTGCCCAAATTAAACCTGATGGATAAATTTGCAATACATGATAATATTTCCCTGTCCTCAACAATCTACTAGGCATCATTCAGTGCAAATACTCAAACAAGAAGAATCTGATGTCTGCCCAACTGTGATACTTAAGCCCAGAGAGAAAAGCAAATAAAGGAAAGTGATTATTCATTAAGTATAATATTTCCTTAGATGTCTCATCTGTTGTGAAGGGCTCTGGTGCTTAGCAGTACTTGAAGCATACCTATTTCTAGGAATGCATGAAGCCATGCTTAAATAATACTAGAATAATATATGCCATGGAAACAATTGCTAGTACTTTTGTGTTTGCTTGTTTTTACCAGCCTGAAGTACCTGAACAGTAATTTTTCTTATATATACCTGGGGAAGATGAAGATCTCTTTATCTTACTGAATACTGCTCTAGATAAGAGAGAAACTCCATAAGGCAGGCTGTAATTCAAGTTGCCATCTGTACTCCAGCTGAACAATTTCTTAGCTGGGTTTTTGTGTGTGTGTTTATTCTTGTAGCACCCCTATTATAACAGCACAGTTGGACAAAGATGATGATCCTGATTTTGCCCGTCTGGTTAAAGGAAGAATTGAGAAAACTTTGTTAGGAGAGGTAAAAAAAAATGTATTTTTGCTGATGCTTTAAATATGAGCATTAGCCAATTGCCATGGGGTATTTTAGCCATTTTTGCATGCTAACTGTTTTGCCCTTGTCTCTTAAAGATTTCTGAATATATTGAGGAAGTGTTTCTTCCAGATGACTGTTTCATCCTAGTGAAGCTGTCTTTAGAGCGCATTAGACTACTGAGATTAGAGGTGAGTTGTTCGGTTCTTACACAGATTATACTTTTGATATGTCTCTTAATCCTGTGTCAGTAATCACACTAGGGGAAGCTAGAAAAAAGGAAGTAAATGATGCATGTTGTGTGGCTACATTACATCTTTTTTTTTTTCCTGCCAAGGTGGATAATTTCCCCTTTATTTGTAAATGAGAGAACATACATTTATGTCTTGCTAAACACAGGGATGCCATTTCCATCCATTGTTTAATGTACAGGCTGGTACCCTCAACATAGGATCATATTTCATGCAATTTTTAAGACTAATTTAGAAGAGAATATTTGGGGATTTTTTTTACTATCTTTTTCATTCTATAATCTGTTGAAAGATTTCTGCATTTATTTTGAGCACATTGATATCTGCTGTGATAACTGTGGTGTTTGCTGGTTGCCTTTTGCCACAGGTGAATGCAGAGACTGTGCGCTACTCGATTTGCATCTCTAAACTCAGAGTGAAGCCTGGGGATGTTGCTGTCCATGGAGAAGCAGTTGTGTGTGTGACCCCTCGTGAAAATAGCAAGAGTTCCATGTATTATGTATTGCAGTCCCTCAAGGAAGAGCTACCTAAGGTAAAAGCAAAGGCTGTTTCATGCTTTTGTGGGAGGTAATCAGTAGTAATAATTTATCCCATGGTGGCAAGATGAAAAAATTCTTGTCAGTATTGACAGTGAAGACAGGCTGGGTCAGTAACTCTTAGATTGCAGTGGTACTGCCTTGCTGTTGGAACCAACCCATCCTTTACTAATACTTGCAAATAAAATGGAAGCTTTGATATTTCCCTTACAACAAGCACTCCAAGTGCAGCAGTTGTAACTATTTCATTCATACATCTGCTTCCAGCTACAACTAGAATTGGACCACATGACAGTATCTGGCATTTTTTCAGCTTTCTGTAAGGGACTGTCTACTCTGGACTTAAAAAACAGAGATGAGTGAATCTTTATTGTTAGCAGCTTGCCTTTTTATTTGCATGTGTCTGCCACCATTCAGACTCCCAACCTGATTGTGGGAATATCTGACATAAAATATAAAATGTAGATAGTGAGTAAGGTTTATAGTACAGTGTTAGTTTTGCACTAGTGTATTTAAGAGCAAGAAGCCTTACTCATATCTCTTTTGAGTGAGCCTTTACATACTAGACCTTCTCCACAGGTTTAAATGCTGTTGTTAACTTTTTATATTGTGTTACTGTATACATCAAAGTTACTAGGGTCTTTTGTTTTGTGAAGGTTGTAGTGCAAGGCATACCAGAGGTTTCCCGAGCTGTCATTCATGTTGATGAACAAAGTGGAAAGGAAAAATACAAACTTCTGGTTGAAGGTGATAATCTTCGAGCTGTTATGGCTACTCATGGAGTGAAAGGAACAAAAACATCCTCTAACAACACTTATGAGGTAATGTCTAAATGGGTGCTGTGGGGTTTTCCCCATAGCATCTTTAATACAAGTGCTTGTTTATGCTCAGATGCAGCAGTTGTTATGGAATGAAGCCTGATTTCACTAATACGTGTCAGAATGAATTAACACAAGAGTATAAATCACTGGCAGCACTGTTCACTTCAAATAAGCTGTTTCTATAAATATTTTTCAAATGGAGAACTTCAAAAGGGTAGTCAAAGATATGGAATATCAATATGCTATCAGATAGTATTTATTCCAGGAATATACTTGCTCCAAGCTCTTGGTTCTTCATTCATGTAACATGCAACAATCATGTAACAATCTCTTGTGTAGGTGGAGAAAACTCTGGGAATCGAAGCTGCTCGAACTACTATTATCAATGAGATTCAATATACAATGGTGAACCATGGCATGAGCATTGACAGGAGACATGTTATGTTATTGTCTGATCTAATGACTTACAAGGTTTGTACTATATTTTTTCTAAGTGTTACATTAGCCTGTTTATAAAAATTAATTTTATCATGTTTGAGAAGGGTGGGTGAGCTCAGGAGATGGAAATTAATTCTGGGCTTAATGAATTCAAAGTTGTACTGACCTAATACTGTTATCTGTATTTTATGCAAAATGCTTAATTACTCTAATTCTTTGGGGGAAGAGGATCTATTTTGACTGAAAACAAATTGATATAATGAGTAGAGAACAATAATTTCATATTGAAAATAGGAATCCTAAAAATGATGGTGTGAAAAGCAACTGTCTGGGTAGCCATGCATGCAGTTCAAGGTTTGCTGTGCAGAAAACCCCACGGGGAGTGGTTTGTAACAGCTGCACCGTATGTGAGAGGCAAGGGATACAGACATTATAAATAGAATCAGCTAATATGAACAGTCTTATACAATATGTTAGTACAAAATCATATCTGGTCTTTACTGATTGATTTCCTTTAAAGTTCAGTGCACTTAGTGAAGTAAGAATTTGCAATTTGCCTGCCAGGGTGCAAGGGTTTAATTTGGGTGAAATGGATGGAGTTCTGATTTGTTCCAAAACTGCAGAGTTTTGTTGTACTGAGCTGCACCAGTGACAAGGACTGACCCTGTGAAGCTGCAGCACAGCAGTAGAAAAGGGCATCAGAGTGCTATGTTTCAAACTTGGTGGGCTCCTACATGCATTCTTTTGCCTGTACTTTTGACTTAGGCTTCAGTGTGCAATCTGGTATAATCAGAATGTTTCTAACAAACATAGGCACAAACAAGTCAAATTAGTTTAAAAAACTAATTACCTTTTTTTCTGGAGAGTGAAAAAATGAAGTTTTAGCATCATCTGTAATCTCCTGGCAGATGAGGTCAGATTTACCTGTAGATAATAGGCAGTAGATTCAGCATAGTGCTCTCAGATCCTGCTGAAGTTTGTAGCTCAGCAGCCAGTTATAATTGTGGCAGTTTGTGGCCATGTTTCTTTTGATTTTTTTCAGTACTCGAGATCTATTCAATATTCAAGATCTATTAACCATTTATATCAGCTTATGTTGTATATGAATAATGACTTATATGTTATGTAAATATTGATTATTACCGAACTATTAACCTTCCAGATGTTTATCTGTGAATCATGTGCATTATGTGTATTATGGCAATACTGACTTGTAGGTAGTATATTTATTTACTCAGGCTTACTCTTTGGGTTTTTCCATCAATCAAGGGTGAAGTGCTGGGCATTACCAGGTTTGGGCTGGCAAAAATGAAGGAAAGTGTGTTGATGCTGGCTTCTTTTGAAAAGACTGCAGACCATCTCTTCGATGCTGCCTACTTTGGACAGAAGGATTCTGTTTGTGGTAGGTATTGCAAAGTCTGTTTCACTTTGTGATCTTTAGCTAGCATCTGTAATACCTCTTCAAAGCACTCAAGTTTTGTCTTTGTTAAGCTTCCTGTTCAGCTGGTATGTCAAAAACTTCAGGTCTGAAGCTAATTCATCCTAAAAATTTGTTGTATGTTCTACTTCTGATCTCTGACTGAGGTCTTGAAGTCAGTTGGGTATTTGATGTTTCTTAAAGTAGACTTGGAGTAATTTGATTTTACTTCTCACCTTACATTTCAGTGAAATGCTAGGAAATTTGTCCCACTGTCAATAGTTCTGTTTTTTCAATTGTGAAAGTTTGTGTATCTTCAACACCTAGAGCTATTGAATAGATCTAGTACCTCACTCAGTATTCAGGTTTCATTTTCATTCCTGCTAAGTAGAAAGACAGGTACATCTCAGCCTAGCTGAAGATTATCAACATGACACTCTTACCTGATTGATTAGGTCACTTGGCACTTGTACCTAGAAATAAAGGCCAAGTTCTTCACTTTTTCATTTAGTTCTAATCTAAACAGATTAAAATTGTGGGTCTTTGTTTTTTAATTAGAAGCCTTGTTTATCCATATTCAGTTCATTAACAGCAGACAGGATACCTATTGTCAGAAATTTCTTTTTAAATGTATCTGTTGTTGAGTTTTAAATTTAAGTGCATTAGCAGCCACTGAATCATCTTACTGAGTTCATGAAAGAACCTGTTAAATTTTGACAATACATGGCTACATATGCACAAGTGTATGCATGTCCATATACATACAGCAAACAGAAAGCTCAGTAAATGAGTCCTGGCATTCTGTTTGTCTCTTTATTTTGTATTTTAGCCATGTGCTCTAATATTTGGAATTGAAATAATTTTGGGGTTTTTTTAAATGCCTTTGGCCCCATTCATTTCAGATTTTCTTCTCTTTTAAGCTACATATATTTTGTGACTGAATTGTTAAAAAATCTAATAGATTAAACGGAGAAAATAAGTAAAGCAGGTTTCACCCTTTTCAAGATCTGTTTATGCAATGGCTACCCTCCTGGAGCTGGAATTGCTCATTGGGAGTTTCTGGGTGCTAATGAAATACAGAAAATATGCATGTGTTATGTTAAAGTTAGCTAGTTTGTGTGTATGTCAAGGTGACCTTAGTGTAGCCAGTTTTAAACAGTACTTTGTGCACAGTATTTTCTGAATCTTCATTCGTACACATTCAAATTATGAATCAAGTAAGAATTTTAAGCAAATTGATTTCGTCCTTTATGCATTCAAAGGTACAGCTATTTATTGTTACCTTCTTAAACATTTATGTGAAGGACAATCTAGTTATACTCCTGAGAATGTGCAAAAATGTATGCTGAGAAATACTGGTATCTGAGAGCTTGATTTGTGTGTGGAAAGTTCTTTGGAACAGTTGTTTACCATGGTAGATCTGGAATGCAAAAGTGCCAGCACATTGGAGTGAAAACGTTATAACCACCCAAATTCATTGGGAGAGACTCAATATTTCACTTCAAAATGAGCTCTTTCTGAGTGGTGAAAATGCCAGGAGTGTTACAGCTCAAGTAGTTCTGTGCCTTTCTCACTGGGAACTTAGGGAGGTTTCAAGGGAACCCTGCCAGGTCTGACTGAAGCCTTAGTACTGAGTCAGAGACTGAACATGAAGTAAGTTTGCCTTGCATCTTCTGTGCTATGGGCACTGCATAGAACAAGTCTTCTCTAAAAACAAACCTGAAGGGCTTTCATTACTGGAGAAGATGTTTAGGTTAGGTGGAGTTTTTGCTGTAGAATTTAACACTGTTTAAGTAACATACTGGTTGGATGGCCATAACATTTAACTTTGTCTAGTAAACAGGCTTTGGTCCTTACATGTGAAGTTCAACATTTTGTAGGCAACACAAAACAGAATGGGTAAATGAAAATAGTTTTGTAAATCCTTACTGTTCAAATGTTCATCGTGTTCGTTTGGTTTTTTCCTAGGTGTTTCTGAGTGCATCATCATGGGAATTCCAATGAATATTGGAACAGGACTTTTTAAACTGTTACACAAAGCGGACAAAGAATCAACCCCTCCCAAGCGGCCTCTGATATTTGATCATAATGAATTTCATATTCCCATTGTTACGTAGAACTTGGACATAAAACAAGATAGCAAAACAAGAAATAGTAAGCAAACGTAATTTAAATTAAAAAGAGTGTATTATCAATTCTATGTGTATCAATAGGAGCGAATTGGTAGGTGAAATAATATGAAAAGAATTCCCCCAATTGTTCACCACCTGTTAGTACAGACCCTGAAAGGAGAGTGCACCAGAGAGTGGAAACAAATTTCCAGTGGATTTCACCTGATAACATTTTCTATTTTGTGTGATAATTTTCACTTTTTCTTTTACTGTTAATGGATGGAAGCTGTTTTTAACTCAGTATTTATTACACGTGTATTCAGATTTTATTAAAAAATTAAATTAAATTGAAGAAAAATTGCAAGAGTTCTGTGAGTTTTCCCAGACTGCTCTTGGAAATGTCCTCTCAACAGGAGCTGCAGAGGTATGCAGCTGTTAAGAAAAGGAACTTCAGAAAGCTGGAACTGAGCCTGTGATTAATTCATAGTGAATTCAGGAGTGCTGTTCAAAGTGTTTGAAATATTTGCTCTTGGCTTTTGGTAGTTTTAATTGGTTTTTCTTTATCCCAAGTTATTATCCAGTAAATTATTTTCCTCCCTGGGATTCTGTTTTGGGACCATATCTACAAGAAACTGTACATTGTGGACGCTGCTAAATTGTGAGAAGACTATTGTAAGAATATTGCATATTATAGATAGCTTTTCGTATGACAGCAACTATTGAACTGCTGGAATCAGTAACTGACAGCAGTTGTAGTTTTGGGAAGGTTTTATAATTGAGCAGGATCATCTGAACAACCTAGTTTTATTTTATTATATAAAGTAGAAATTGAAGGGGATGCTGTTTTTATGCATTCCATGAAATAATTTGGTAGCAGTTCTAGCTGTAGTCCACTAAAGCAGTTTCCAGAATGAATATAGATCTCAAATAATTTCAGTGTAGTACATTTAAATTTACTGTGGTGCTGTGGAGGGAAAGTGTCTCAGTGTTTAGTTAGCAATGTTTGGATGTGTGCTCATTACATGGTTGGAGAGAAATGGAGTAGAGAAAAAAGCTGCAGTGCTCTCATGAAGTAGAAGCTGGCTGTTGAGTATTCTAGCATTTGAAGATGAACAAGTTAGTGCTGCAGTTTTTCTTTATGTCCACCAAAAGTGTAAGGCTACATTCAGAGACTGTGAATCTATTGGTTTAAGTCTTAAGGTGCCACTGTGTCTGTTTTTTTAATTCATCCTCCATGCAGACAACATCTCATGTCAAATTCAACACAGCTATTCTCAAATTATTTTGTATTTTCAGTGTGATGCTGAGATTTATGTCTGCCTAGATTTTGGCAGGGTGAAGGTGGAGAATTTAATGCATTTATTATCTGCTGTAAAAGCTACATATATTTTGCTGTCTCTGTTTTAGCAATAGAAATTTCAGAATAAATTAAAGTTTTCTTTGTGATCTCAGTGAGATTACCACTTACTGATTTGTCTATTTGTTTTTCAAGATGTACATTTAACATGGGTAGGGGCTTCATGGAGAGAAAGCCCATGAGCCTTTCCTGTGGTTAAGTACTTCGTTTTATCATGGGAAATCCTACTTGATAGTGCTTGACATTTTTGTGAATAAAGATTCTTCTCACGGTCCAAATGGGTGGAGTTTGTATTGGAACAAATAACCATGTCTTTCCTTTTCCTTTTGTTGGTTGGTTGGGTTTTTTATTTGGTTGTTCAGTTTGGGGGGTTTTTTTGGTTGGTTAGGTTTTGGTTTTTTGTAAATCTAGAAAAATTACCTATTTAAAAGCTGGGTTCACTCTTGTGTGTTTTAAAATTAAGAATAAAATTACATCTTTTATCATTGTCTTAATTATAACAATAAAAAGAGGCGGAGGTAAAGAATATGTGAACCTTGTGTTTATTTACGGATTTATTATATTTCTGCATAATTAATTCATGGATGAGCTAACCTCCATTTCTTTTATTTACTTAGTAACAGCAGAGAATTATTGAGCTTAAATCTCAGGTATTTACAACATAAATGAATAAATTGTATAAAACCTATATTGCTTAAAGTCACTATGTAGTGTCCTCATAGCATGCTCTGAGCCTCATGAGTGTTTCAACCAAAAATAGATTGTTTACAAGAGCACTCTGAATTAGTAATTATTGTTTGAGCTCCCTGTACAGTCAGTAAACAAATTAGCTGTTGGATTTCACTCATAAGCAGCTTTATTTAAGGGTCACTTTTAACAGTCAAGAAATTGAATTCTTGAATATTAAAATTAACATTTTTATTAATTTTTTTAGCTTTAGCTTGGGTTTAATTTTTTTTTAATAAACACTGTTCTTCACATTTTTCTGTTTTCTAATTAGTGTGATAATTAAAATTAGTTAAGTGGAAATTTTCAAGAAATAAGTTAGTTTTCAAATATTTTCCATATCCTGCTTTCTCATCATTTTTTTTCCATCTGTTTTAAAATAAATTCAAACTTCTCATTAAATGAAAATGAAATACTTTGTTGGTGTGTTTATGAGGAAATTGCTTCCCACATATCTCATCTGCAGAGAGAGAAGAAAAGGGCTGCATGTGCTACATAGGTTTCCTCTTATGACTACAGAAAGTTGGAAGTAAATCCAGAATAGTGCTGCTTTGGTCCATAACTTGAAATTTAGTAGAGAGGGCTATTCCTCTTTTTGCTTATCTGTGCTTAAAGAAAAAGCGAAGTGCTGTGTTTTATAAATTAACTACAAGTAGGATAAAATTGGGCTGTTTCAGGACAGATAATCCTTGATGTGTGACCATTTGTCACTGTTTCAGTAGAAGTTGAAGGAACCACTTCAACAGGAATTCCTCAATTTTGTATCACAGTGCTTGTAGACAGGAATGTCTTTAGAAACCCATAGCAAACAGGATACAGATTTTCATATTTGCAGTATTTGCATATTTGCCTAAGTTACTCTGTGCAGGTAGCTAATCTATCTTTGAAATGGTTGGCTAAGCTTTATATACAGACCTAGGAAAGTCTTGGTAATTAAATATGCTGGAAGGAAAAAAAAAGGAAAAATTTGCCTATTATAGTATTGTCTAAGAACTCAAAAACTAAAAGGGACCAAATTCTAAGCTATGTTAATATTTTAATGCACCAATACTTGGCAAGTTATTTGCATGGGAGTGTGGTGCTGATATAAATGCATAGCAAGTTTATCTTGAAGAATGAATACCAAAATCTCACAGGCCAATCTGAATGACTCATAGAAAACAAACCTGTTACTTTTGTGTTTCAGTGCTTTTGAAAATGAATCAATGTTTCTTGTAACTGATAAAATGAAAAATTTATTCCATTCCTTCTAATTCTAATGAAATTAGAACATATTGTCATCTTCCACTAGAGAGCAGCGTTTTCTTTTGAGAAAAGAGGTATTGGGCATAAAAATGGGTTTTTTGCAGTATCAGGACTGAAATGTAACTATGAGAGGGAAAGTTACCTGTTAAAATTACATACATGAGGAAGGAGATAAAGGGACTGTATTTTCTTAGGAGAAAGCAGAGTCCATATATGCTTTTTCATTAATTGTCAGAATAATTTTCTAAATTTTTCAGAATAATAAAGTACTGGAATGGTCTGCCCCTCCACTGAGAGATAGTGGAGTCACCATCCCTGGATGTGTTTAAA